TGGGCCCGCTGCGGGAGCCGGGCGGAGGCCGGAGCCGGGAGCCGCCGGAGCCGGAGGAGATGGACAAACTGACCATCATCTCAGGATGCCTCTTCCTGGCCGCCGACATCTTCGCCATCGCCAGCCTGGCGAACCCGGACTGGATCAACACCGGCGAGTCCGCGGGTGAGGGGGGCCGGCGGCGGGGACGGGCTCTGCGGAGCCCTGTCTCCCCAGGGGTCCTGCTGAAGCCCATAAACCCTCTTTGCGCTCTGTAGAGCCGGAGAGCGAGGGCGGCATCCCCGGCTGCGTCTCCCCTGTTCAGTCACCTTGGACAGGGAATTTAGATCAGTCTCTCTGCGTAGTTTGTGGCAGGTTTCGAATCTTTCGTACTACGCAGACGTTTCCTTTGTTGCAGGGAAGATCTTGCTTTCCTTCATCTTTTTTTTTTCCAGAATATTTCCTGCATGCTGATTTTTACCACGTTTTAAGCCTAGGTCCCATGTGTTTTTTATTTTAGAATCTGACGTTGTTTTCTTTAAAAGAACAAGGATTTGTGCATCTGTCTTTTTGCTAATGATGTAATTGTATGAACAATTTATTTCAGCCTGTTGATAAGGACCTGCATGTTCTGATGAGTGGAGCAGGGAGAGATAAAAGGAGGAGGGCTGCTCTTTGATCTCATGTCCCAGAGAAACCCCAATCTCCTTGTCAGGAAAGGAAGCCATCCTTACTACAAACAGATGAAACTAACTTAACCACCTTTTCCTAAACTTACAATTTCCAAGCAAACCACAGGTATAGAATTTCTATGAGAAAAGGGGTCTTGGGGTAAAGGCTTCTGTCATAAATTCTTGAAGAGGGTTTAAAAAAATTGTCTTAGTCTGCCTTGCGTTTTCCATGCCTAATATTTGATGCGTGTAAGAGGATTGAACTGGTTCAAATGGAGTCATATTTCCTTTATTCTGATGAAGTAGAGTATTAAAAATGTTGGCTATTAGGGATTGATGACTGGGCATTCCCTCTGACCAGACTATCTTTATGGTTTCTTTGAATTGCTTCTAGTTACCTAGTCTAGAACCTGGCCTGTGCTACGTGGTCCAGAGGAGAGGAATGAGTCTCCTTCCTGAAGTGCAGCATTCAGGAACTCCCTAGATGAATTCACCGTTCCTCCTTTAGCTAATTGTGATGATTCTCCTGCCTGTGGCTACATAAAATAGTTGGTTCTTTCATCTTACAATTCCACCCAGCAGCAGTGCTGCAGTAATGAGCCCTTCTTCAGGGGTGTAAAGTCAAATAAAATAATCTTCATTTAAATATTTAAGTATCTCGTTCTTAAGTTGTGCCTCATGTTAACAGATCCTATGCAATGTGTAAGATGTTGGATTCTCTCTGCCTGTATAGAAATGAGATAACAAAAACTATTCTGAAGAAATTGCTGATGGATAGAAAGGTCTTTTGGGACCTAAGCACAGTCCATTACATTCTTTGTTAAAGAAAAAATGTTTCCTGAAATATTATACCTAGAAATCATTAATTCTTATTTACTTGATGGATGATTACTTAAGAATCATCTGCCATTTCTGTGCTGTACTCCTTTTACAGGTGCAAATAACAGTTTTAATTAGGCTGGCAAACATGAAATCTGTGTGGATTTTTATGAAGGACTTCACTAGTCAAATAATATTTTGACAGACCTAAGCGTCTTTTTTTTTTTTTTACTATATTTTGAAGCTGAACAAATTGTTGACTTGATAAAATTGTAAAGGAGAGCTAGCTGTCATCCTCCCTTAATGATTCTCTTGTAGATTTTTATTGATATGGGATTCAATGCACTCTGTTGTAAAGTTTCTGGTTAAAAGCAATATAAACGTATATTTCTAGTACTTAGACCTTCTAAAATGAGCCTTTTGCCCAAACTGTAAAGAAAGGAAGCGTGAGGATGCCCATTGAATCAAGGACTTCCTGTAGCAAACACTGTAGTATTGAATTATGAGAGAAGTGCTTTTATGAGTGCCATTCATTATGCAGAGACTGCTGTGGAGAAGTATGGCATAGGAGGACACAGCCCTGATGGTATACCCTGTCCCAGCTGCTAGTGAGATTCAGGCACTCTCAGCAGACTACCGTACTTGGACCACATTCAAGCCATCGAGCTTCCATATGTGCCACTAAGAAGTGGGGTTTTTTGAAGCATCTTGCTCTCAGCTGGTGAAAGAAACTATTTGCTTTACCTCTGTGTTCGATGGTTCATCTCCTATAGGAATTATTCTAGATTCTGCTTCTACAAGTCAGCCTAGTACCAAGGAGAAGGGGGAGTAATACTGTTTCTCTACTTGGCTGCTGTCCTCGGGGTTCTGAAAGGCAGCGTGGAACAGCCTGGTCTTCTCAATACTGCAGCTGTTTTAGAATTGCATAGAGCAGAGGTCTTGGCAAACCTTGGAGGGCAGCACTGCATTGGCTCATTCAGAGCTGTTTACAGCCATTAAGGTTGGGAACCTGGGCTTACGTTTCAGGAAAAAAAAAAATCTGTTCTGATTTGAATGCTAAACAACATGTACATCTTGCTCCAGAGATAATGATGATTTTCTGCTAAATTGGATAGCAAAATAAATCAGTGGCTTTAATGTTTTTCTGAAAAATCTAGATTGTTTTTAATATCTTTTTTAAAAGGAGCTTATGTTCTGGGGAAATCGATATAGGGGAAGGGCTGATTAGTCTCCTAAATCTTACCCTTAAGATAAGTTTTACAGTCATTTGAAAAATGTTGGCTGTAAAAATTCCTCTCCAGCATTGTAATTATGAGCAAAGGATTGCAACTGAGATCATTGAAGGTTTCAGATGCTTATCTGTCTTTAGGCCAGAGGAGCCACACCTCTGTGGATGTGGGTCCAAGTCTCCATTGGGCACTTTTTCTTTATGTAGTTTTGTAAGAATTGTTCATTAACTTGGTTTCAGGTACTTCATACATCTTTAAGATTATGAACGAAAGATGAAAATTAAATGGATTTTTCTTTCAGAGACTTCTCGGTGAGGTTTAGTTGTTTGTGGTTTGCAAGTACAGGACCCTGATAACTCCGATCTCAAAACCAGTGGCTTCTCAGTATTCTTGCACTGACATCCTTTTCTTATCAAACTGATATTCTATGTGAGAAATAAGGAGAGAGTTGGCTTTAATTTAAGGCAATGCCTAAGTTCCCACTGATTTCAATAGTAATGAATTTTGTTCCTGTATTTCTATACTTCTGCGATCAACTTTTAAAAGCTGATAGTTTTGTCTCCATATGTTCCTTTTTAGTGTGGGAGGGTCTTTAATGATTTTGGTATTTTGTCTTCAGTAGGGAAGGAGGGAGGATAGAAGTTGCTCTAGCTTCAGCTCTCAACCCTTTTGTAGGGAAAATGGTATGAATAGTATGCACAGTTGAAATTAGACCTGTTAAAAGCTGTACATGTTGGGGATGGTTGACAATTTGAAATGCTTTTAGGATAAGTGAAATAATTCAAGGGGTTAATTTAATCAAATAAAATCCCCCTTCAGAAAGCTAAGCTATCGGTTTGTTTATGGGCCTTAGTCATCCCTTCCTATGTAGCATGATTGTTCATTTGATTCCAATTTACAGAACAACATGTACCTTTTTTTATAGCAGTCATTAAGTTAATATGGATGTCAGAATTTAAGGCTGCTAAACTCTGATGGGTAACTTCTAAAGCAAGTATTTATCGCATCCTCTTATGTTGATACATATATCACAATGGGACACACAGTATAATGTTATGGCCAGGCCACTCAGCATATGCACAGCAGTGCTGACTCGGGTGATATGAGTGTTCGGCAGAGCTTCCAATTTCATCTTGCATCTGTGACATAAGCATCAAGGTCACTTATGTTAGGAATTATACTTTTCATTTAAACTGCCTTCTGTACCATGCTGTGCAGTAACAGTATGATAGTAAATTGTGAATCTACAACATGCCACTTACTTTAAATTGTCTGTTTTGTTTACAAATGCTGCCTTTCCATGTATCTTCCAAAGTATTATGTGTAGTTCTTGGTTTTGCATACTCAGTTGCTTTTTTTATTTGTGAAGTATGATTCCAGATTCAGTGGTATGTATGGTCTTTATAGAAGAGCAAGCTATACCCAGCAGGCCATCCCTCCTGAGGCAGTTAACTCCCTGCTCATGTGAAATAAGCTGTCTAGTACTAAGTGGCAAATTACTGCTATTCAGTGTTATTCCTCTCCACGTGATAGCTCTTCCTGAGGAATTTTGCTCCACAGTTCCAGCAGGAGCTGTAGCTTTGTTGGGATCAGCTTAATGAACTATCACAGGTGATATGACCAAGCAGCGATTCCTGGCTCCTGCTGAGTTTGAGACCACATTGCCACTGAAATATTTTTCTCTACTTGGAGCACTGACTGTACATGGAATAAACTCAAGACCACATGAAGGTACTTGAATGAACCAGTATTTCTAAATAGAATAGAGTAGATAGAATAAATAAAGCATTAACAACTTAAAAGAGGGTGTAAACTTGAGTTCCAGCTAGCACTATTGTTCTAAATGCAGTTGTCTGCTCAGAAAGCAGTGATACATAAAAATCAGTATGGCACATTACCATGTACTTCTGCCCTTTAGGGCCTGTGCTGAGAAACTGTTAATGTACAGTGGTTCTCTGTGGAGGAATTGTGATACAGGGCAATCATTGTGCTGAAGTAGATAGTGTTTTGGTTTGTTTCTTTGATGTATGGGTAGTTGGCTTTTCAAAAACTGTCCATAAAAGGATTCTGGCGATCGTTTGTTAAGCATCTTGCAGTATACTCAAAACACAGCATGCTTCTCCCAGTTCTTTTCAGCAGAGAATGATGGGACATGATAGGAAGCAATTCTGAAACATTACTTTTTCCTAATTTTTTTAATACTCTATCATGTAGTGACTGTGACAGGAGAAGTTATTTGCCCTTTCATGAACCTGTTTGGATTGCATGCTGAGAATTTAAAAAAAAAAAAAAAAAGGGGGGGGGGGATGATACAGAGACTAGAGAATTATGTGCCATTATGCCCTAGAAAGAAGTGACTGCTGAAAAGCAGTCTGTAAAGCCATCTGAACGTCAGAGTGTTACAATTAGGTTCTGCAACATAATTGCTAGGAAAACACTTTCCTTTTGGTAGATGCCCCCATGTGCA